GCCTTTCACCGAGTCATTCATCTGGACTGCAGAACGCTGAATTAAGAGCTGCCAACAGTTTGGTCACCTGTGCCTCTACTTGTGACTTTTTGATTATGGTGGGCTACTTATAAGAATGTTTTGTCTTTATTTTATGAAAATGAATGCATCACATGTAGCGAAAGGCAGGGGCGGATCTAGATGGATGGCATGGGGTGTCAGCTGCCACACCAAAAAACTGTCTGGCTACATTAGGTGCCACCCAGTTTGGTGTCACATTAATATAGATTAGAAAAATAACATAACACAACACACAAAGTAACATTAACACATCTTTAATGATTTGTTATGGTTCAATAAAATAAAATAAAAAATAATTTTAAAGCAATGTATTGATTTCTAATGCCTCATTTAAATATTTCTATTCACTGCTTTACAAATATACCACAATATTGTAATATTTTTGAGTTCAAATATCTTCATTTCTGTGCTTTTTCCAAGCAAATATTGATATATGTGATTGTTTGCAATTATATCAGCATATATTTATGCCACCCCTTAAAGTCTCGATACCACCCTCTTGCCACCATGTGAATATTTCTCTAGATCAGCCGCTGGCAAAAGGTAACAGAAAGTGAGAAAGCTGGCTATACAATAGAGCTTGGTTCAGAAATCGACTGCTTTGTCAAACCATGATGCTGCATTTGTACCACCCTGCTGATCCACAATAATACCACAGTGTGTTTTTGTTTGGTTTTCTTTCGCCTGATTTAAAATCAATTATGTGATATACACTGCAACAGTGGGAGGAAGAGGTTCCTGGCAAAACAACACTAACCAGTCGTTATTGCTTCCCTGTTTTTCTTGTTAGCCCACTGATGTCCACTAAACATGCAGTATGCATTCCCCTCCCTTCAAAGTTAACCTCTACTTTTCTCCCATGACCCAGAAACCAATATTCATACCAGTACTGTATGTTGCTTTCTGTTACAGTAGTGGAGGAGGTAAGAGAAGCTATTTTAAAACCTCCCACAGTGGAGGATGTTCACATGTATCACCTCCAGGAAATATGCTAACAGTATGGTCAGAATAAACACATCAAATGATCGAGTTTGACTTAATTCACAGGTAGAAAAATACTCAGTAGTAGTAGTAATAGTAATTAACACTGAAAAAGTGGATGTAAATGTACTGCACGTGTGTATGTGCATGTAGGCGTGAGCTCAAGAGAGCATGCATGTGTGGACATGGCTCTAATGGGTGAAAGAGGATGAGAGGAGGCAGGAGAAAGAGAGGGAGATATACTTTACAGAGAGAGATAGAGAGCACAAAATAACTTCAGGCAGCCTGGTGGGTGATGAAACAAACGTTTGAAGTTTCAGAGGATTGTACATGTTTTTTAAATGACTGTATACTCACTGTAACTGAGGAGACTGAAACAAACAGAGATTAAATTTATCAGCATGTACAGTCTACCACTGCTACTACCACCACTATTACTGCTGTGACCGAACAGGAGAAGTAAAGCCAAATAGATCCTGGCAAAGTTTTGAAAGGGATTCTGGGTGATTTGAGTAGATGAAAGAGCATGTTATGTGTGCTTAACCACAAATGGACAGCATATTCTGTTTAACAAAAATGGAGTTGATGGCTCATGGGGTGATACATTAGTACAAATCTTCCTTTTTAGCAAAGTTTTTATGAAGAATATCAGGGTAAGTGGCCGTCAAAGCTATACTGCCACACGGGAGAGAAATAAAACTACCACAAAGTTAAAAACACAACTCTTTTAAAGGTCCAGTGTGTAACATTTAAGAGGATCTATTAGCAGAAATTGAATATATTATGTATAACTATATTTTCATCAGTGTAAGATCACCTGAAAATAACAGTTGTTGGGTTTTTGTTACCTCAGAGTTAGCCTTTTATATCTATAGAGACGCTGTGGATCGCCTTGCATGGAGGAAAAAAACAATCACTGGCTCTAGAAAGGGCCGTTCGTGTTTTTTGCATGTTCAACGGCCATCATACCCTTTTCACATTTGGAAGGGGAGGGTGAAGCAAGGGAGTCGCAATCTGCAACTACACAGCTCGATGCCATTAAATCTTTCACACTGGACCTTTAAACTGCTGGACAGATTTTGTCTGATGATATGATTTTGTCCGTTTTCTACAGACTAATTGAAAACGATGTCTCCAGTTAAGCCTCTATTAATTAACACCAAGGAATTTGGCTGTCGGGACCTGTGAGATTTAATAACCATAAATAATTACTTGAGCAGAAGGCTTTATAAATTTATCCTAATTTTTATTCTTTAAAAGAAACCACTTGAAATTTTTGGGGAAATTAAAATGTTATTGAGTGGCTACATAACTGAGATAAGCCAAAAATAAAAGCTACATCAGCTTTTCAACCTCAGCACACACTGAATAAAACACTACAGTATATTTCGGTGGGCATTTATATGTATGAGTCATCAGCTGAGTCATGCTTTTCATATCTGTGATGCTGAAGCACAAACGCCAGTCAAACCTCCCTTCTTTCCTCCCCCCACAGTACCATAAACCCCACAGGGTACCTCACTGCTCCCCTTCTTTCTCTAGTCACTTCTTTGTAGACGGGTGTTTAAAAGAGGCGTGTCTGTGAACATTTTTTGGGGTCACGCTCCCTGTGGTGGTATGTTTGGGGGGAATTGCTGTAGAAGGATGGGCTGCAGCAAATGTGCAAGATTTGACCACAATACATTTTTCAAACCAGCCCAAAAATTGATTTGAGTTTATTAAATTTTGGCCCATTGCATCTCTGTGCGGGCCGGCTGTGCAAATCAAAGGCAAACCACCCTCTCAGGGTGCCAAATGCTACGGTTCCTCCCTGCCGCGCAAGCAAACAGTATTTTCTGTTCTCTCAGGTACCATTCACTTTACAGCCTAAATAAAAGTGTGTTGCATAAGGCTCTCTTTGGTCATTGGTGGGGTTGAGGGGGGTCAGGGGTAGTAGTTGACTCACCACAGTGCTTTATAAAAGAATGAAGAGGCGATGACTGTGGTTTTTGTTTGTGCATTTTTTTCCATGCACAACTTCTCTATGCTGTATTTCAAATATAATGTTGGACTCTTTTACACTATTTGATAAAAGTGATAAATGGCATAAATCTGTAGATAAAATACATAATCTGTAGTTTATAAATGCTATAAACTAAAGATTAAACTGTATTACAGTTGATTGGTTATCTGTTAAGGTACTGGCAATGCATAAAACAGATAAATATTCAAGACATTAACTTAGCTTAGAAAAAGTTCTAACTGGTACCCCTGACAATTCATGATTGCAAAAGTATTTTTTTTCGTGAATCACATTTATCATTAAAGTTGTCATCAGGGCTGTAGCTTCCACTGAGGACACAGAGGTCACGTCCGAATATTTCTGGGAATGTGTGGGGTTTTAATTATCGAGTTTGGACTCTACAGCAACGAAGAAATTCCACGTCTGGTTTTGAGGGCTGAATCTCGTATTTTTCACACTCAACTTTGAAAAAATTTAAGTATTAAATTAAAACAAAATAGGGGGATTCAATTTACTCCACCAGAATTATATTCCTGGCAATCTGATGTGCATGTGCAAAAAAAAAACAAAAAACTGATTGGTGGGTTGCATGGGGGAATAAGGACTTCTTAAATCCTGCCTATGTGGCCTTGATTGGCGGCAGTTATACAACCACTTAATTAGGGATAAATAATTTACTAAAGCTTTATAGATCAGTTATAAACTTTTAATAAGAACACATTTTGATTGCCAGACTGTAAAAAATTGCTTTGGTTGTTTTTTTTATCCGTTCTATTAGTAATAATATAGTTCTAAATGTTCTTAATCCATTCATAGATGGCCCAGGGTTCAAATCCAACCTGCGGCCCTTTGCTGTGTGTCATCCCCTCTCTCTGCCCCCCTTTCCTGTCTGTCTTCAGCTGTCACTATAATAAAGGCAATAAAAGCCCCAAAAATATAATTAATAAAATGAATTAATTTGGTTCAATATTTGCTGCAGCACCTTTCCATTTCCAAGTGTGGTCCTACATTCTATGGATTTATTTCACAACATGGTGACTATAGGTTATTTTCATTATTCCGACAATTATTTTCTCAAACAATTAATTAATAATTTTGTCTATAAAATTGTGAGAATGTCTCTGACAATTTGCTAAAGTCTTAAAATTGCTTGTTTTGTCTGACCAACAGTCCAAAGACCAAAGATATTCAATTAACTAAAAGCAACAACATATCAGCATATATATGAAAAAATAATCTTTACCACCTACAACATTAATGTACATAGTAAGGCTTCAATAATCACAATACAATAATCAAATATGTTATTCTGAAATGGGCCATTCTGTATACTTTTAGTACTTCTAATTTTCAAGTATATTTTAATGCTACTACTTTTATACTTTTACTTAAGCGATATTTTGAATGTAGGACTTTATGTATTTCAGTATTTCTGTATTTCTACACAGTTGTATTGCTACTTTTACGTTAGTAGCCTAAAAGATACTTTTAGTACTTTAAGTACTTTTTCCACCATGGTTCCATTTATCGTATGCACAACAATTACAGTGAAGCAGTCATTCACAGCAAAATTCTTTGTTTTCAGGCTCCCTTTAACAATGCCCATTAAAAAATGTGTAAAAAGAAAATCACACAGAAATATATATATATATATTATATGTATGACAACCTGAAGCATAACATAAACAAATTTTTGTCACAGAAAACAGCTTTATATGAATATCTCTTGAGCTTAATGGGTCATTCTTTTTAATCTCTTTTATCTGCTTTAGCGTATTTTTGAAACACATATAATACTCCTAAGCATTGTGCTATGCTGTGTTTATTTTCTTTATTGTTATTATAGAGGGGGTTTCCCCAATGACACACTGGTTTCCATTGAAGCCCACGCACTATTTAACAGGAGGTCCTTCATTCAGCCCGTGCGGATTAATTCACGTGTGTGAGAAGGCTCGGCTTGTCAGTCAGACTTTGAACGGAGCACTGGCGCTCATCACTGCTAATCTCTGGCCATTAACGACGCTGCTGCTGCTGCTCACAGTTATCACCGACCAGCTCAGAAATCTATAGATTAGGATGAACAGTTGCTAAGATAGGGCAGGAAAAAAAACAAAAAAAAAAACCCCGAAGGACAACAACCGTAGCAGGACTGAGCGGAGATTAAACGTTAGCAACGCCGTTTAACGTTCACGTTACTCGGGGAGTTGCGATGGTCCAGTTAAGGGATATTTTTCTAGCCTTGCTTCTTGTGGGCTGTACAGGTAAGACTCTCTTATTTGTCAGTCACGCTCGCCTTTTTAAAAACAAGAATTGTTTGTGTTTCGCCCTGAATAAGCTACCCCTACCCTCTTAATAGTGGTCAGGACCGACGGCATCCACTCGCCTCCCGGTCGCCCCTCTCCCTCCGCCCGCAGGCGCTCTGTTTAGCAGGTGCAACGGTAACGGTACTGCGACTGCTGCTAATTAGCTTACTGGCGAGCTGGAGGATTTGTTGTGTTTAATTAAAGACAGCTTGCTGCTATTGTTGTTAACAGTGCCATTTTCTCTCTGTAGAAACATAACGCTGCTCTTTGCGTGAGCAAGCCTGTTCGCTGACTTTGCGTTATTGTACATTAAATAAAACATGGTGTTCATGTTTGAAGGGCAGGCTTAAAAAAAAAAAAAAAAAAAAATCCTATTAGTGTGAATGGGAATTTGGCTTGGAGATTGAATTATTTCTTTTACTGCATGTACAGTCGTGTTGGCTGTTGGTCTCAGCTTGGATGGGACGTGTTTGTTGTTGATGGGGAGTGATGCTGGGCTCCCTCTATTTGTACACACACATAAATGCACTCTCTCTCTCTCTCTCTCTCTCTCACTCACACTCACACTCACACACACAAACACACACACAAACACACACAGCCCTCTGGGTTGAGTCACGGTGTCTCTGTTAAAGGTACATTGTGCAAAAAATAAAACACGTGGCATGTCCAGAAGCACCTGTCAGTGTGTACAGGTGTGACGGCATTGGGAGGTTGTTATTGATAATAGATGCTTGCTGCATACAGTACATCAAGGTGTCTTTCAGGGACTGTGCAGGTTTATTTGGTCTCTCTGGCACATTGATGCACAGCAAGTACAGCTTCTATTCTGAATCATCTGTTATGTAATCTGATGCCACGATAAAGGCTTTGAAACGAGATCCTCTAAATTGGTAAAAAAAAAAAAGTGTTGTTATGTAAGTATAATTGAGGGAGTTTTGTGTCAAATTACATTTTTAATAGCCTTTACACGCCCATTTTTTAAATTAGAATCCGTAATTTGACATGTGAGGGGCTTATGGTTGGAGTAGTACTCTCAGCTACACTCAGGATCAGGGTTGTCGTGGGATAGCCTTTTAATCCTTTATGTACAATCCAATATGTGCAGGGGTGTTCCTCAGGCAGGAGAGGAAAACGCAGAGGGAGTGGAGCCCTCTCTCCATTGTAATGATAATGCAATTTCTCTTGGGTTTATTGGAACATTTTATGTAGGAATAAAAAAAAAAAAATCTGCAAGACCATTACGATTGGATTCAGTCATCTCCCGCCATAATTTAACATGAGCATATTCTAATCCATTTGACACATGCATGCTTTTTATTTTGTTGCATATCTACTATACCAATTATACTTAAACAGACCATGGTGTAATACAGCATAGTAAATTACACGCTGCATGTGAACATCCTGAGAAAACCTGTTAATTTAATGGAGGCATTAGATGAGATCTAAAAATTATAGAGAATAAATTGAGCAACCACTGCCTCTGAAATATCTTTATTTTCTTTGAGAGCCAACATCTTTTAAAGGCTTTTGCGTAGTTTGTAATCTTTTCAGAACATCTGAGGCTATAAGAAATGTGGACTATGGTTATATGACTACACTCCAAATGATGGATCTTGTTAATACAGTTATTAACCAAGGGGATATAATTCAGCCAGAGATAATAGATTTTTGAGGCTGATGTTTTTATTTAAGTATTAAAGAAATCTGATGATATCCATTTTTACATTAAAAAAAAAGAATAAACAAACATTTTAAGGATCTCTTAATGTGACTTGAGTATCTACTGAACAGAACATTTTATAGTATTAATAATAAACTTGTCAGACTTGGACAAACCATGTGATAGTGACACAGTTTCTAAATACCCCTTAGACATACCTTTTGACATTTCTGTACACCAGTTTCTTAATCAGCCAACCTACAATGTAATTAGGAAAGGAAGTAGTGCATTTGGGGCAGTTTGACTCATATAATCTACAATCATGTACAATAGAAAGCAGACAATGTGGTTATCTGATACACTCGAATATAGACAGATTCTTCATTTCACAATTGATCAGTCAGTCTCCAGTCAGTCCCTGAAACTAGAATTACAATGTTCCCTTAGTGAAGCTGTAATGTTTGCAATGCTCTGCACAAATATCAGAAGTAGTACTTTTATAAATGTCACTTTTGTAGGTGAATGTAAACCAAAGAAAAAGTTTATCTCTTAGTAGACGATTATGTGGCGCAGTTGCAGTATTTATGACTGAAGTGAGCTTGGAGAGGGATTAACCATCTTTCTCTTTCCTTTCCGCTCTGTCTTTGGCTGCATGCTCTATGGGCCTGTTGAGCCTCTTGACATAATTATTAATTGATCCCCCTCAAACTGATAACTGGAATGTGGAAGAATTTCAAGAGCGCATTTCTGACAGAAAATGAAAGATGGCCTCCAGAAATCAAAGTGAGAGCAATGAAGCAAAACTGGGCAAGATAAGAGATGAGTTCCAAATGTCCTCAACCTGTAGGATTGATGAAGGGATTGCGTCTCTGCATCTCACCATATGGCTCTCTGGAACAGTAAAATGTGGCGCTCCAGTCTACAGTGGGATTGTTGCACTCAGCCTGTGTTACATCATCCGTTAGATCACGTGGGAATGATGACGTAGCTCCATGCTGCTCCCTTTACAAAGCAAGATGGAAGCGCATTTGTGACTGCAGGCCGACTTCTAAGCGCTCCAGACTTCTTCACGTGTGACTTAGCTTCATGAAGATGGAAATCAACGCTGCCAAAAGCAATGGCTGCCAGTCCAACAGCTCCAACTTGATAAAGCGATCATTTCAGAATAGTCTGTGCACATCGTGTACTGGCAGCAGTTTTTTTCCATATTTAGAATTTAGGGAGGTCCAACCAAAATAGATTTCCCTCCCCACATAAAAGACACAGCAATGTTGCGTCCTCTTCATACGCGTGCGTGACCGCAGCCAATCAGTGTACACAACTACAAAGCTTGATTTAGTGCAAAGACCCTTACAGTTTGTCCCTAATGAGACCATTAATATCTGGGGTCAGCGTGGTCATACCTTGCAGAGAGGCCGCAGTGGAAATGCATATGATTAGGGCTGTTACAAATTTTTTATTTTTCTTAGTGATTAGTGTCTTTATTTTGTTCGATTAGTTGATCGATCATTTCGTTGATCAGTCTCTGAAATGACTGAAAATGCCTGCCACCACTTCTCTTTGCACACAATGATTTCTTCAATTAATTAGCAGCAGTGATATCAAACAGATAAAACAAAGGCAAAACAAGAAAATGTTTGGCAGTTTTGCTTGATAAGTAACTCAAAATATTTACTGAGGATCAACATTATTATCAATTCAGTTTAATTATATTTCTGTCCATCACTTCATCCTACACGTATGCTACATATACATAGCTTGGGCTCAGCTAAAGTCTCCTGTATTAGACCAGTAATGCAAAACATATTTCAGTGTTTGATTAAAACCAATGTTTGCTGGTGTTGGAACCAGTAGTGATGTCTTATAAACAGTAATGGTGCTGTCAAGTGTATTTGCAGACTTTAAGTGTCAAACAGTAGTCTGTAAAATCGTTCTGAAGTCAGACAGACACAGAGAAAGGTCCATTAGGGAGATCCAGCAAAGAATGGTAAAGGCCTGGTGTGTCTTTTCACCTCCATTTTCTGTGATTTTTGTTTTGTCTTATCAAATAACTAAACCCGCCAAGAACAGAGTAGCTTCTGACAGGCCACTGCTAAGCTTTAGGGGATGTTTATTGAACCAGAATTTGTTTCAGAATGGAGCTGATGATAGAAAAAGACAACTTCTGAAATGGGAGACAATTTCTGGGATACAACTGTCAGCCATGCATGTTTTGGGTATTGTATCTATTCGGACTTGTAATTTCAAGAAATTCATATGTAACCGTGAACAGTCGTTGAAATAACCATTCCCTAAAAGTCAGACTCTGGCATCAGTTTTAAAGCTTCCATATCTCTTGCACATCTTTTTATTTTTTTAAATCTCACAGATGCTAAGGTTTTTATCCAGTATTAGGAAGCAGACGCAAGAGAGAGGCTGTGATTTTGTTCCAGTGAGGACTACTTGACTCTTTAGTGATGGGGAGTGGATCAGACAGATCCAGGTCTGAGAGAGTTGAGTGGAGATGCATTGCCTAAGGACGCAAAAAAGATGACATTACACGTGCACGTGACCCCATGAAGCACTGTGGGAGGAACATAAACATCCTTTCCTAAGGGTTTGCTCACAGAAGAGGCACAGGCTGTAGGTTTAGTAGTTGTTTTTCAGTGACTACAGTCTGTGGTGGTAGCATCCTTACAGTATGTCCTGTGAGGGTTGAGTTATTATATTAGAGATTAATATTAATCAGCTTTAATTTAAGTACAAAACAAGTTAAACATAGCACTGAACAGAGAGGCCTGGGAGATGAGCTTGATGTGTATCTTGTACTGAAAACTTGCTTTTTAGCTGAAAGTTTGCAATCCTATTAACGTCATACAACAGTACGAACATGCTAAGATCTCAGAGCTATCAGGAAATTAGAACAGTGTGTCCTTGTCATTCATCAAATAATAAGAAAAAAAAGAGGCCAGCACTGTGAGCAAAGGATCCCTGTGGATAAGTAACCCTAGATTGGCAAACCTTTAGGCATTATGGCTTCTGTCCTCTTTTGAAGCATTTCCTCTGTGGGACAAAAGGAACCTATGACAGGGTGTTACAGACTTTGTCAATGTTTTTGTAAAGTTCTAATTATCTGCTAGGTATAGGCGAGACTACTTGACACACTGATTGTACATCTTAAGCACTCAAGTAATGCTTTTAGCAGGAAATGTGTATAATTATTGTTGATGAATAGCTGAGTTTATCTTTGATTTAAAAATAATTGGTCTATAGTTGAAGCTACAATATCCTCTTGATAATGGTGAAAAACCCC